ATTTATTAAATAGCCATACATAGAACGGAAAAAATTAAGCCAGTCCATTACTACTCAAATCCTACTCTAATGTGGCTACTTGTCATATTTATAAGTAGGAGCAGTTCATTGTCACAGTAGTAAGGAAAAGCAGGAAGTAAGCTGAGTCTTACTTTTACTCTACAACATTTTAAATTCAGAATTGCCTTTCTCTTAGACCGATTCCATATCTAGGCTAAAGTCCCTCAATCTTAATTATATAAGAAGTCTAAAAATTAACGGGACTGGTGTCACAATTTATTTCAATTCAATACTACATGGTTTCTCCATCGAAGTAATCCCACTTGATTCTAGGGCAATTTGCCATCATTCTCAGCCACGCTTCCATGTACTGTTACAGGAATTCTTCTTGGATACACGCCAGCTCTGTCGTTACGTCCCTCTTGAGGGCCTTCCAAACTGGTCCCCTTGATTATCCCCGTGAACTGGGCGAAAAGAAGAAAGTCATACGGAATAAGATCGGGTGAATAGGGAAGTTGTTCCTGCACGAAGAATTTCTTCTAGGCCAGGAACTGCCGGATGTTCAAGGACGTCGTAAGCAGGCACATTGTCGTAGTGAAGCAGCCACGATTTGATCTGCAATAGTTGCAGACAGCTAAGGTTACAGTTACGTATTCCCAAGATATCTTGTTAGATGATAACACAATCCGCTTATACCATTTTTTTTTTTGCACATCGCTCACATAGCACAACCAGTCCCGTTACTTTTCAGACAGATCTCGGATGTCGTTTATGTTTAAGAATCACATAATCGTTTCTTAGCCCAAAAGAATTTTAAATTTCTAAATTAAAGATATGTTTTTTGTTAAAGCTATTCGTATTTTCTCCTACCCTAGAGCTCTCTGATGTCTATAATCATCATTTGCTTTCCAGCGTCATTGTTCTGCTTATATATTTTTCGATGCATTCTTTAAATGTCTACATTTTGAACAACTGTGGGCTACGGGCACAAAGACAAGGTCCTTTTTAACATGAGCGCATAATGAAATCAAATCCCAATGTTAAAATTTAACATGACACGTTGCTTATTCTAAAAATCCGTTAGTTCTTCAAACTGTTTTACCTTTCTCTATCAAATGTTGTAAATAATTCTTTGCGAATATCATTGGGAAGTTTATTTTTTGTTACCTCGTCAAAACTGAAAATGCAGCCGTAGGAATAGCAAAACTCAGTTGATACATGCATTGTATATGATCGACAAAAACATTTTTTAGATCTCGTGACTTCACAAGTAAAATTGTTAATGTGAAAAGGGCAGTCACACTCCTATAACGAAAAATTAGCTTTAAAAAATTTGATCGCAAAGTGAACAATCAAATTTAGATGCTGGATACTCTTGCGTAAAAATAATTTATTGTTGGGCATGTCTTCTGTTTTCAAATGTTAAAAATATATAGAATACTTGCGGATAAATTAAATTGTCAAATGCGCACAAAGGAATAAAATGTATTACCTGTCAGAAAGTTAACTGTATGCAGTGATTGCTGAAAAAAAATCCCTAGGGTAAAATAAAATTTAATGATATGTTCAGGGATCGAATAAGAATTCGTTATTTTTACTGATGAGAAATTATTTTCATACTCCTTTCAGATGATAGTCCTCGGTGTGAAGATAAACTATATCCGGCAACAAGTTTTTTGAGGAGCGTAGGACTATCTCTTAAGTGAGGTTGTTCCCACGTACAATAGTGAATCCCCAAATATTATGAAAGTATAAATATATATATATATATATTTATAGTAAAAATACCAGCAATATATTATTATAAAAAAATTATCATCGATACATATTTATAGTAAATTTACCAACAAGGCACTTTTTTCCAGCAGAATTACCAACAATAAATTTTATAGCAAAATGACGAATAATTTTTATAGCAAAATGACCAACAAAATTTTTTTTCTGTAGTTGAAGCCATAAAACTATGTTCAAAATATTTAGATTTCGGTAATAAATAATCCATAGCGGTTGATATGCCGCTAAACAACCAACCAACCTACCAAACGAAAAGCAAATTCTTCAGAATACGAAATTAGCATTTTTATATTCTTTCCTCTTCTGACCAATATTTTCCTTGGTTAATATAGTCTCTTCAAATGTATATTTTGTCATATTTTATAATCCTCCACTTGGGTAGATGGCGATCGTTCAACTTTCTATGCTTACAGGATCATTTAATTGTCTCATTCATTATTGTTTAGCCTGTGGCTTCCTTCCACGAGATGATCGGAGATCACATTCACAACTGCAGCGCAAGTAGACATCTTGTTAACCAATGCCTTAATCCATTAGGAGAGATGTATCTTAAATAATCAAGCGTTGAAATTCAGAATTCTAAGACTAACTTGTATGAGTGCTCTGACTAAGTTGTATGAGTGCTCTAACTGTATGTGTGTAGTTATCGCCCTTCCTTTATCAGATGGTATTCATTTTTATGCTAGGTCTACTGAGGAGGTTCTTAATGTCTAACAATGGCTCTGTTTTATTGACCTTTTCTTGTCTAGTTTTTAAAAATGTTCTTATAAATGTTTCCCTCATTTCTCTATCTCACACCCACAGAGGTGCGCATACATATTCCTACACACACACACACACACACACACGGTGAAGTAATGGACAGCAGCTTGGATTGTGGAATCCGTGAGCTGAGTTCGAATTCCAGTCGAATCCATTACATTTACTTACGTGCTAATGCACTTGGGAAAGTATGAATTCTCTTCTTCTACCTTCAGATATGGGTAAATAGCAGGACAGATTGGGTTCTATAGCCTTGGATGGCAACTGGTCTAGGAGAAGGACAACTCTGAATTCTACACCTGAGGAGGGACGTTTGGGGACCTTGAGGAATGTAGGACTCTGTATTCAGCTATTTTGAAGTATGGTTGATTCTGCACAAAATCTTCCCTGCTATAATCAAATCTCATGTGCTTGTGTCGGGCCGTCGGGCCCTAGAAACTTATCTGCTTGACCCTCATACGTCGAATTCGCCGAGAGTGTCGAGTATATATATATATATATATATATATATATATATATATATATATATATATTATTATTATATATAACGATCAACGAATGTCTATTCTGTTTGATCATGAGCCGTTCGGAGAAAATAAAGACAAAAGTTGTCCAACATTCGGATATGTGGGGGCAATTTTTGCAAAAATCACTTTTAAATTAAGATGATACCAACCTCTTTATTCCTTCAACATTAATGGGTATCGTAACCGAACATCCCTCTCTAATTATTTTTGGTATTTAAAAGGAACAATAAAACACCCACAGTAAAATGCAAATTATTAATTTGTAGGTCATTAAATGACCCATGTCCTCTATCGCTACATGAAAACTTATATATTATTAAGTTTCTTAAAAATAATGGTTTGTTAAATCAACGAAACGAACAAACGGTAGTTTTGTAGGCATTGTACAATGTTTATATTAAAACATAGTTACTTGAATGTTTCGTTTAAAAATCTGTATTTTATAATTATATATCCATTATTTGATTATATATAATAGTACATATAATATTAACTTAATTCCTCCTGATATATAATTTTAACATTTTGCCATGTCTAATGAACCACTGAATATAATAAGTATTGTACTTTAGATCATAATAATTAAATATAAAAAAACATGATTTAATTATAGTAGAGGCCCCTTTAAGATAACCCTTTAAGTATATAAAAAAAAATAGCCCATTGTTGGATACATATACCTCTCTGTATTATTTCATTGTATCTTATGAATATATCCTAAACGGGAAACAATACTGATATGTCTAATACATGACGGCTCATCTAGACAAGTATGTATTACATACTCACACATAACCTCTAACCTACATTTCTTTCACTTTTCTACTTAAGCTTAGGTCTCTAGATTTGTCAAATAAGACAACACCCACAAAACATTTTGAAATCTTATTCCCCCTCCTACATAAACTCTTCAATATAATATCACTTTGCTTTCAAGAGTAAATCATTTTCTCCTGAAGTTACTGAATATCGATTGACAATTGGAACAAATTTTATGTTCCGAAACATAGAAATTTCCGTGTCGCGATGAAAAAATATTTTCAAATTTTGATATTATAATATTATGCTCTACTTCGTATCGAGCACTTTTAAAAAAAAATGCTGAAGCACTGTGGATTATTAATCTGATTGTCCTTTCTCTTTATATATATATATATATATATATATATATATATATATATATATATACTTTATTCGAAAATTATATTATAAATATCTTATAAAATCACTACAAAATAGCCATTTTGTTTCAACACTTCTGGTGTCTTATCCAGTGATGGTGTTGAATGTAGATATACATACATACATACATACATACATACATATATATATATATATATATATATATATATATATAGAGAGAGAGAGAGAGAGAGAAAGAGAGATAAAAGAAAGAGAGAGAGGAGAAAAGAGAGAGAACTTTTTTCAATTTTTTTCAATAATAATAATAGTAATAATAATGAGCACATCCCTTCCAACAGTCACTAAAGTGTTCGGGAGAGTCTTCAAGAGAGTTTCATAGTGATTAGAACAATTAAGAACCAGAGAATAATCAAAACTATTACACATCGACAACATTAATTAACGAGGATAGTAATAGAGTGTTGAAAACTTTTGCTGTCACTTGTTGTACAGTGGAACGCACCAGATTTTCCTAATGCGAAAACCTAGTTACAACAATACTAATGCTAAAACTAATAATTCTTCTTATTAAAGCCTAATATCAAATAATAACTTTTCTGATAGAATCTCGTCTCTGAAGTTTTGATTTCGCAGATAAATCCCATTTAATCCGAAACCAGCATTGAAATGATTCCACTGATCCTTCTTTGCGAATCAAAGATAAACGTAATGAATCCCCGCCGTAATATTCGGACAAAGATTTCTCGTTTGAATCAGTCAGGCATTAATCCAAAGTCAATATTCTAATGAGAGAAAGAAAGAAAGAAAGAAAAGAAAGAAAAGAAAAGAAAAGAAAGAAAGAAAGAAAGAAAAAAGAAAGAAAGAAAGAAATGAAAAAAGATGAAAAAAGGGAATAAAGAAACAAAAAAAGAAAAGAAAAGAAAGAAGGAAAGAAAAGGAAAGAAAGAAAGAAAGAAAGAAAGAAGGGAATAAAGAAACAAAAGAAAGAAAGAAAGAAAGAAGGGAATAAAGAAACAAAAGAAAGAAAGAAGGGAATAAAGAAACAAAAGAAAGAAAGAAAGAAAGAAGGGAATAAAAAACAAAAGAAAGAAAGAAAGAAAGGAAGAAGGGAATAAAGAAACAAAAGAACGAAAGAAAGAAAGAAGGGAATAAAGCAATAAAAGAAAGAAAGAAAGAAATGAAGAAAGAAAGAAAGAAAGAAAGAAAAGAAAGAAAGAAACAAACAAAGAAACAAAAGAAAGAAAGAAAGAAAGAAATGAAGAAAGATGAAAGAAAGAAAGAAAAGAAAAGAAAGAAAGAAAAGAAAAGAAAGAAAGAAGGGAATAAAGAACCAAAAGGAAAAAGAAAGAAAGAAGGGAATAAAGAAACAAAAGAAAGAAAGAAAGAAAGAAGGGAATAAAGAAACAAAAGAAAGAAAGAAAGAAAGAAAGAAAGAAAAGAAAGAAAGAAAGAAAGAAAGAAAGAAAGAAAGAGAGAATAAAAGAAAGAAAGAAAGAAAGAAAGAACAGAAAAGAAAAGAACTAAAGAAAGAAAGAAATGGAGAAAGAAACAGAGATGCTGAGAGATTATAAGATTCACTAAAGAGCTTAAAATTACCGGTGATCCTTCTTTTCTTACTCGTCCATTTGTAAAGGCTTTAGCTTAAAAGACATTACATCAAGAGCAGAAATGAATATTGTAGAAAATGAAACTTTCAAGAATCCGGCGACAAAAATATAATGAAACATAACTCATTGTTTACCGGAAAACGTTTGCTAAAGATAACAAATTAAAATTTTAATCAGAAAGAAAAAAAAAAGGACTCGCAAAAAGTCATTATTCTAAACCGCTTTTCTAAAACCCCATTAACAGAAAAAGACATTTATGAAAACAAATTTGTTCAAAAAGCGCATTCTGGTTAATAGGCGGGAAAGATGTTTTCTCAGTGCTGGTATAAATTAGGGCTAATAATACGAAAGCGAAAATAGGTTTTAAATTATTAAAAGAAAAAAAAATAATGCCCTCTTTCTGAAGAAATAAATGGGAGTCGACAAAAGATATCATCATCGAACGTAGCAAGCTAGTTCAAAAGCAATAGACAAGCAAACACCGTAGAGTAGAAACAGTCATGTATCTGAAACTGTGCAAATACAAACAAAAATCTAATTTGGAACTCGGAAATCCAAAATACCCACCTCCATCTAAAGACAAAATCAGGATTAAAAAGAATATTTCCTTACTGCAAAAATTCCATTATAATCCAACCACAGAGCGAGGTAAAGCTAAATCAAAAATTGAAAAAAGTATCCATTTTTCGTGAAGTGAGTACCGCAGAAGATTATGGTTAGTTTCATGAACTGAATAGAAGAGCAGATGCGAAATATCAACCTTGTGGAATGAATGAAGTATTCACTTTGAAAACCTCAGACCTGAACAAGTTTGAAGGCAACACAAATCAAACCTTTGTGGCTATAACAAACACGAGGGTGTCGTCTAAATTACGTAAAAATGAAAATAACAGTGACATCTTATTTTAATAAATATATTTACGCAAATTACACAAAAAATATATTGAAATAACAAAGAGAAGATTTATCCAATAAAATCGCCATTGGCTTCAACCACGGCCTCCATGTGGCTACACAATCTCCTGCATCTCTTCTAGACGTTCTCCTCGTTTAAGTTAGTGAATTCTGCTATAATCCTTACCATCAGTTTATCTTTGGTGTTGTTCGTTTCTCTCTTAACTGTGCCCACAAATAATAATCAAGTACGTTGCAGTCTGGGAAGTTAGGTAGTCAGATGAAAGGGATTAATGTGAACGCAGAAACTGCCTGACAGCCATGAATGGGATCACCTGCTTGTGTGGCATAGTGCAGAGTCCTATTAGCAGACATATAGTCTTCCAGCAGCCACCCTCTTAACTTAGGGCAGTACTACCTCCTCAAGGCAGTTGATATAGGAAACCTTGTTGAGTTTGAGGTCCTGTGGGAAGATGAATGGAGGCATAACGACGCCATTGATCACTTCAAACGCCATCGTAATCGTCATTAGATTAATCGAACTCTTTCTGAATTCTCTGCACTTTCCTCAGATATGACCCCAAACACTCTGAAATGTTCGTATTGGAGTTTCCGGTGCGAATGCCAAGCTGTACACATGTAGTTTCAAAATTTCTGGCGAAATGAATTGCGTCATGGTGCTCATTTACTCACTGAAGGTGCCCAACTGTCCTGCTGTACTGTGCAGTCGAAAAAATCCCAAAGAAACAATGCGCATGCGCGAAATTAAAAATATAAAATTGCGGCAATTTGCCCAAAGCATCCTGTAGTAAAATTGCAAATAGAATTCTTGACAGAATTCCTCAAATTCAAATTATTTTCTACTGCGCAGAAATTAATTCAAACGTTACTGACTGAATAGGCTTATTATCAGGTCATCCCATAAGTTCTGTCCGAATATTGAATAAAGAAAACAAGTGACCAAATGTTACATTTAATTACAGATTCAATCAACAATGTATTTTCCTTGATTATCTACGACTTCCTTCCATCTATTAACAAGCTTACTAATTCCATTACTGTAAAATTCTTTTGGCTTTGATTCGAAGAACTCACAAATGTCAGTTTTAACCTCTTCCTGTATTACAAAAGCTGTTTCTTCAAATTATTCTGTGCTTACGAAACAAATGGTAGTCTGAAGGAGCAAGATCGGGAGAATAAGGTGGATGAGGAATTTTTCCCAACCAAGTTCTTCGATCTTTTTGACGTGATTCTTGCTAATGTGGGGTCACGCATTGTCCTGATGAAACATCACCCCTTTTCGATTCACTAGAGCAGATCTTTTTTTCCTCAAAGCTTGGTTCAAACGCTCTAATTGCTGACAGTATATTTGAGCATTAATTGTTGGATTAGGTGATAAGAATTCAAAGTGGATTATTCCTTGGCGATCCCACCAGATTGAAAGAAGAACCTCTTGCCCATGAAGTTCACTTCTCGGCTGTGGCTGGGGTCCTTCCCCTTTACCAAGCCACTGTCTACGACGCTTAACATTTCGATAAAAAATCTATTTTTCGTCGCCAGTCACAAGTCTATCCAAAAAGGTGAAACAATTGAGAATGGAGAGAAGAGAAGATGTCAACACGGGATTTGAGGTTGTTTTCAGACAATTCATGAGGCACCCATTTTCCAAGTTTAGGAACTTTTCCAAGTTGTTGAAGATGACGATGAACAGTTGTATGGTTTGAACTGAGAACCACTGCCAATTCCTCAACTGATAAAGCAGGATTTTCTTCAAAGGGCTGTTTCTGTAAGTTCTTTCATTCACACATTCCTCTCCATAAACCGAGTGAATGTTTCTAGCCCCTTCGGCTGCTGAGTTTCCTTTCTTGAACTCATAAAGCCTTATGTGCCTCAAATGATTCTTGGGTACTTCCATGTTAGCAGGGTTTTAATCAAACAAAATTTAATTTTATTGTTCTCTGAAATAAAATGTGATCAGTTTAAATGGATCTAAACATAAAAATAATGTTCAGCTCCATTAGATATTATAAAATACTCTTTAAATTTCGTTCATTTTAACAAAAAGTTAAAATTCGGACAGAACTTATGGGATGACCTGATATATATATATATATATATATATATATATATATATATATATATTACAATGAATCATTGATACAAAAAGTAGATTAGTAAAAGTTAATATTATGAAATATTTATATCATTAACTTTACTAATCTACTTTGGTATAATGATTCATTATATATAAATTATACCACATATTATATATATATATATATATATATATATATATATATATATATATATATATATATATATAACGGATGTAACAGCATAATTGTCCATCCCGCAAAATGTTTCCTGTCTACAAAAAACACTAAACTAATTGAGTTTCTTTTTTACAGGTTTTCAGAAAAGTATTTAGACATCTTGTAACTATTTGTCATAAGAATCACTGAAAAACTAGTACTGAATTCACCTAGTAAAAGAACAGGTTAAAATCGTTTTGTATCAGTCCCACTGTTTTCCCAAACGAGCAATTGTGAGAGGAAAAAGATCATTCAGTCCTTCAGTAATGTTACCAGCATTCATACTCTGGCGTCTATCTTCCAAGTCCATTCAAGAACCCTCAAGAGAACGATCAATAAGTTTTTAAAACAGCGGGAATAGTACAGAGGAAAACTGGATCAGGAGGTCACAGCAGGAAGAGAGATCATCATTTCAACTTAAAGCTAAAGCGATCAAACTGAAAAGATCCAACTCAATTTATAAGACGTTTGGCACGTGAGTGAGAAGTTTCAGCTATGACAGTTCAAATAGCAGTGAAAAAAGTCATGAAAATGAAGTCGTACGTGAAATTTGTGAAGCAACTTATTAATCCAGGGTAGAAAGTTAAGATGTTAGAGAGGGTGAAAATCATCTTGAATAAATTAGAAAATGATTGTGTAATAATATATATATATATGTGTGTGTGTGTGTGTGTGTGTGTGAATTTTATTTTAATACTTCATTAATTTCCGATCATTAGCTATGCTTAATTAATGATGAACATTTCATTTTCGTTTATAATCGATTTCATCAGGATTCTTCTGTTAAGCTTGGGGAATGTTTCAAGGTAGAGTGCAATAGTGTTATAAAAATCTCGGAGAATTCCAATAAGATATCTTTAATCATTTCTAAGATGGAACGGTTCAAATTTCGATCTAACAATTGGACAATTTTGAACTCTCATCGGTGAATATTGAGCTGGGAATCTCTGTTCACTGAATGTTTGAACTGCTATTCCTTAACAAGTGAACTGCTATCACTTAACTATCACACAACACATCCAACTTTTCCTCCTCTCTTTATATAGCCTAACCAATTTCCTATCTGCTTCCCTCCATATAAATATTACTCCTCCATTACTAATTCTTGGTGACCATCAATAATTCACCTGCTAAATTTTCCCCTTCTCTTTCCCCCGTTTGTCCTAATATTTATAATATTTATAGACCTTTTATTTCTATTTTTCTCCTTTTTAAGTTTCTCTATTGAATTATCCTTGATTATCCAGTACATACAGGCATTACATTTCTAATAAAATGACCTATGATATTATAATAAACAATTAGATAATCTTTAGGTTAATTAAATATCATGTAATAATATTGATTTATGAAGTTTATATGAGTTCTCCTTAAATTTCAATGCATATGCCTATGTATGCGTGTCTACATGTGTATGTATGGTATATGTATGTATATGTGTGTATGTATATGGATGCCTGTGGGTAACCTTTAACAATACATATTAAATTCATATATTAACTTATGTACCATATATTAGAAATCCTTATGATGCTAGTAAAATTTGATTACTTAAGATTTGATATACTGAATGGTTCATAATTATATATAGGATATAAAAGTACGCATATATATATATATATATATATATATATATATATATATATATATATATATATATATATATATTTATGTATAAGCAGAAATTGTTTTTCCTCCTAATGGCCATGTTTGCCGAAACTAGTCGAAGAATCTAAATGAAATAATAATAATAAAAACGAAAGAATATTAATCTACAACCCAACAATTTTTTTAATATTTTTATTGTTCAATATATATATATATATATATATATATATATATATATATATATATATATAGTAATTCTTATATCCTATATATAATTATTTGTTCACCGAGAGATCTTTCTGATTG